AGTTCCGGCTGAATTACACGTCCCACCTTGGCGAGACCTGTGATTCCTGTCAAGGGTAATGAAGTTCATCCTTCTGCATAGCTCTACAAGCATTAACAGGTCTGCACAGGTTGGCATTGGCCGTGATCAATGACCAAAAATGCCCCTTCCAAGCCGAAAACAGTGATGAATTTAGTAAAGAGGGGAGAATTGATGAAAAGCAGCTGGTAGGTGATACTGTGAGGCTGGACTTTTAGGTTGAAGAGAGTCATACTAGAGGCAGCGGTAGCAGGGGAAAGCTTCGATCAACCTCCGATTTACCTTATCGTCATGACGTGTCCTTGTTTAGCTTCCCACCTTCATCAGGACAAATTTGACCGTTCTCTCCCGGACCTATGAACCCCTCCCAAAGCTACCAAGAAGCTAGTGAGTGCCTTCAATTGACAAGAACTAAGCAACATCTCTCGCTTGTCGTAATTCAGTTCCAATACATTATCAACCTTTCAGCGTGCCAGGTTTCATTTTACCGATCCCTTCAACTCCTGACATTTGCTGTACTTTCACGTTTCATTTTGTTAGAGCTACACTGGCATTCGAACGCGAGGGAACGAAAGATATTTCCGGCCAGCACGACGACATCCAACAGCCCGGAAAAACTCTCAGCTGATAGGCGGCATATGACGGGGCGTCAGACGTATTGTTGATCACGGCCATTGATCCGTCGAAATGTGTGGCGCAAATAATAGGCTCATGGGAGAGATGTCCGTTCCGGAAGCTCATTGAAACAAGACCCGTTCAATAGTTCACTTCAAAATATTCCTCTGGTCTGTGGTTTTTACCACCTCTCAGACGGTGCGGTTGATCATCAAATTCGGGTGCAGTAACGTCCGCACCGCAAGTCATAAGAGTTCAGAGACTTTTCTTGCTTGAAGGTTATGATGCCATTGATTGCTTTCCTGCAGGGATATCGCAAAGGGGTTTGACCAGGACCGGCGCCCCCCTGCCGTTCATCCCACGTGATCCTGTCAGTGGACTCATTGGTCCAACGACCGACACAAGGTCGCATGACGTGCGCGCTCCATCAAAAAATAGCATTTTTATGCGAAGGTAAAATGAGTGACTCAAAATGGATCTGCTTCCAAGGAATCTAGAGCAGCAG